CGAAACATCCCGAAATATAAAATAAAATTCAATTTCTCAGTATAAAATGAACGTCTTCGACGACGTTCGACCAAAAAAAAATACAGGTCCGTATTTAAAAATTCAAAGATGGGGGTCGTCCAAGTCAGATGACGCCCTGTATAAAAGACTCATGGACAGCACACATGGATAGCACACATCGAGTGCCAATGGCCAAATGTGGACAGATGTTCAATATGTCTGCGAATGAAGAAGATATAGGCAAAAAAATAATTTGGGATTTTTTAGTTTTTCCTGTATATCTACAGAACCAGAAGAGTTATATTCAATTTTTTTACATCATTGAATAGGTCTCTGAAATACGCAACTTTGCCACGTTTTAACCGACACTCTATCTCTTATGGTTTACGAGATCCCCATGTACAGAAACGAATTTCAATAGCCTTGTATATAAATAAATATTGATTGATTCCAAACCGGTCTGTGTAAAAACTGTGCTGATTTCTCTCTTTTTTTTTCAGGAATCCGTCATGTACTCAATCAGGATAGACCCCAATCGTTGAAATCGTTAGAAAGGAACAGTGAACATCAGCTGTCAACCCGAAGAGAAGATAATATATCCCCTCCGCTCAAACATGTACAACAACCACAAAACCTGAAAGAGATCCAAACATGTTATCCGAAATGGAAAGTGCTGTTCCGGATCCCGAAAATCAAACCATCCCAGTAATCGTATGGTCATTATCGACATCCGATCAGAACGACTCCGATTTCCAGTCCTGTGTGAACGTAGACCCGGAGGTAGTGAACTCCTTCCGCTTCGTAACGAACGGACTATTCATCAACGTCATAGGCATGCTGGGAGTTCTGGGCAACATCATCTCGATGATAATATTGTCGAGACCGCAAATGCGGTCCAGCATTAACTACCTGCTGATCGGCCTGGCGAGAATCGATACAGTCCTGATAATTACCAGCATGCTGCTTTTCGGCCTGCCCGGTATCCACCCCTACAGCGGCTGCATGTTCACGTACTTTTACGTCGTTTACCCCCATATAGCTCCGGTGGTGTTTCCCCTGGCCATGATTGCCCAAACCGCCTCCGTTTATTTGACCTTGACTGTATCCTTGGAGAGATTTGTGGCTGTGTGTCATCCTCTTAGGGCCAGATCGCTTTGTACGTACGGAAGGGCCAGGATTTATGTGATCGGGATTATCATTTTTTCGGTCATGTATAACCTTCCGAGGTTTTGGGAAACGACGTTGCAGAAGGAGTGGAACGAGAAACACAACGTGACCATTTATTGTCCGCAGCAGTCCGACTTCCGAGATAATGCGGCTTACCAGACCATTTATATTCACTGGCTCTATTTGATTTTCATGTACCTGTTACCGTTTGGATCGCTAGCAGTGCTCAATGCTTGCATTTATAGGCAGGTGAGAAACATTCTAAATTCAAGTTTTTCATAATTCTATTTCTGAAAATGAACACTTTTCATTACCAAAGGTTAAATTGGTTGGAAACAAGTATTCTTGTCAATATTGCATATTTTATTTTAAGATTTTTTTTATGTTAATTCGTTTTCCCTCAACACGTTATTTATTTTTATTGTTAAATGTTCAAAGGCCAAAGTATTTTACGTAAATTTTCATTGAGTATAAATAAAAGAATGCTTGGACATAGTCGATATTGCTGAATAAGTAATATAATGTTTGTTTGAAGGTGATTGACAATGTCTCATGATGAATTTCACTAGTTCGGACTTCCATTGTCTACTATATAAAATGATATGAAATCCCTGAAACATCTAAAAAAGAAGAATTGAAAATGAATAGCTGAAAATAACAATTATATTAACCAAAATAAACCTGAAATGAAATAATAGTGAAATAAAATACAAGTAAAAATAGAACAATTGAATAAATAAAAATAAA